AGCCTAAATCAGAAGCCTTTAAATATGCATATTCCAAACTGATGTAAAACATAAAAAAGTTGAACTATGTCTCTATGTTGCAAGGCATTAACAGAACATTGCAGGTCTCGGTGGGATCATATTGCGATAAATATCACTTCAGATCCATTTACAGAACGGAAAATCTGTCTTTTGCATTTAAAGTCCTGATGAGAATTACTGAGACGCACCGCTTTGGGATCAGAACAGATGGTTTAGACATCACTGCTAAATGAACTAAAGAAAGATGAAACATTAACTCTGATTGTTCATAAGAGAGGAAAACGTCTCACCTGCAAGATTATGTGAATCAAAGGTTGTTGAGTGTGATTGATTCAAACATTTTGAAACTAAAGAGCAATTAAGTTTTCAAAGAACATCTTAATTGTGGCCAAAACCAAGATGAAAAGACATTAATGCAATCCACCAGGAACAGAAATTCTGAGAAACACGATGCAAGCTGTGATTCCCAGAATAGATTTTAGAAAAAGAAACCAATCAGTTTCTCAGGAAGAGTCTCTCCCTGGCAGCTCCATGAAAATAAAATGCTCTTATGAGACAGAACAATATGCAGAACATTTTATCACACAAAAATACATTTTAAAGGAAGATATCCTGCTAAAAATGTCAGAAAATGTATTTTGATGAACACATTTTGGGTAATAGGGGCCTATCCCATAATGTCTGTCACTCTTTCAGTTTCAGATTTAAACCAGAATTTTAAAACATAATCAACAACCAAGAAACTTGTGAATTTGAATGACTGAAACAAAACCGACATCTTTAAAGCTGAACTACACGATACTGGAAATCAAATTCTTTCATTAAATCTGAATAACGATGAATAGAATCAGTGTTTTTTTTTTTAACCAACCATTTTTTTCACTGATAGGTGACCTATTATGCTTCCTGTAACGACTCATTTTTTACACTCCCACATGAAAATAGCTCCAAAACTACTGAAAAGCATCAGTAGAGCCTCGTGCACAGCCAATAAGACTGCAGCCAAAGGTTTCTGAATGGAAAGCGAACAACAAGCACTTTTCCAGCAGCCATTGTACCGCAGTAAAACTAGTTCAACGTTCTGGAACTCAGCTTGGGCGGAGTTCCATTCCGAAGGTTTGTGAAACTTTGCCAAAAACTGTATTGGTGTTTTTTGTTTGTTTGTTTTTTTTTAACGCTTGAGCTGTTTTTAGAAGCAGCCGAGACCCAAATTTGAGTTTAAAAACGTGCAAACTCATTTCATACTTTAAGAATCAGTTAAACTGAAAACATTTCTAACATTTGTTTTTAGCAGCAAACAAGTTGAATGGACACAGCACTGCGACAATGTCTAAGATAAATATCTATTTTGGCACAGAGATGTCGGCTCCTGTTATTAGCACGCTGAGCTAATTACAGAGGAGCAGGCATCTAACACAGCCTAAATACACAGAGGTGACACGATAGCTTGGTAATTGCAAGTCCTTCAGCTTCTTCCTGTTTTTTCTGTTGATAAGCAGCCTGCCTTGAAACGAGAACAGCAAACACCTGCAGCAGCAGCGGCAGCAGCACAAACTCCTAATTAGCTGTTATTTAGGAAATGTTAAAATCTCCTCGTTGTGACTTTTTGGTGTTTTGGGAAACAAGTTAGGGTGTTTTGTTCTTATTTAAATATTTATCTCTGTAATATTTCTGCAATGGCTCCTTGCAAGCTGCAGCAGAGGTGTGGAGGCAACTCAGCGGCTTACATAACAGTCATAATGTTGCATTAGGAGCTGGAGACGGTGAGGAGGAATATGGAATAGCCACATCTGGTCTGGTTTATAAACCTCAGCAACAAGGACTGTGTTGATTAAACAGATTTCTCAAAAGTTCAGACCGGGCTTCGTGTAGCTTAAAAAGTTTCAGAGCACTTTGAAAATCCCCCTGAAGGAACATTTTCTCCTCTTCAGCAACGTGTTCCACTTTCTGGTTTATTATCCCTCATTAAAAATGCATCGGTTGGTGTAAACAAAGTGCCTGCAGCGGCAATATGAAAACATGGTGTGCTGAGAAATCGTTTTCAGTTGGAGATGTGTGCTTTTTTAATTAATAAAAATAATAAATAAATAAGTAAATAACATAAGAAGTAACAGCAATATCTTCAAAGTCTGGATTGCAATTGTGAAACCAGGCATTGGAAACAGCGGATTCTGCAGAAAAATGAGATGAATAGACCAGAAATGTTTATTTTAACGATACATAGTGATGCACAATATATTGGCATTGACTTCGGTATTGGCTCATGTTAACATGTCGGTATCGTTCCAATAATTCAATTTGTGCCAATATTATTTGAGTGAAGCAAAGAAGCAATTTGGTCTTATTTTTATTCCACCATCCTGACTTTATATCCCTTTTTGAATCCAGTGGAGCTCTGCAGCCAGGACTGTTGCAGCTGTTAGATATACGATGCAAGTGTTTTGTTTCATATACGGGAAAAAAAACGTTTCAGTCATACAAGTACAATGTCCACACTTGTTATAAAATCACATCTGAACTCTTAGAGCAGATAAAGAAAGTGAGCAGGAGCGTTGTCTCAAGTTCAAAAGTTCACTGTGTCAAGGCGATGAAAAGCATCTGTGAACAGCTGCCAACGCTGCAGCACTCAGAACTGATGGGGTGTTAATAACATACCACTATAAAAGCTTCATGATAGGGTTGAAGAACTGATATTCAATGATATGGAAGAACAGAAATATGGACTCATGTCTTCCTGGAACTGAGAACATGTTTATATTTTACATTCTTCTTTAAAATATAAAAACAAAAAGTAAAACCTAACGATGAATAGTTACATTCAAATACATTTAAGTGTTACTTAAATGTATTTCCAAATTAAAATCTAAAAGTACTTGTAGAGTCTAACTTTTCCAAAATGTGTCTTTTTCCATAATTTTTAAAAGTGTCACTATGTTGTGACAATATAAGAAAGATAATCTGTGAAAATAAATCAAGCTCTTCCACATACTCCTAGTGCTGCTACTGCCATCTGTAAAAATGATTTGGTCCCAGTAAAAAAACAAAAAACAATCAGAACCAAGGGGAGGGTCTTAGTGCTGTCAATCATCCTCATGTACGTGCTGATCAATGTGCTAGGGTAGGAAATGGGAAGATGGAAAGTTTTCCATCCATTCTGACTTTTGATCTCAGAAGATTAACTCTGAGATCACTTTGAAAAGTCAGAATTATGTGAGGAATTTTTTAAAATCAAAATTCTGAGAAAAAATGTCAGAATTCTGTGATTAGACTCGAAATTGTGAGAGATCTGTGTTACCATATTTTCTTTTTTTTTTTTTATCTCAGCAACAAACAAACCTTAATCCCTTTCGACCAAGGAATGCCAAAGCACAAACCTGAGTTAAAGTTGCACCTTCTTCTCTTCATGCAGGTACAGCAGAAGAACAAACAACCCCCTCTGATAAAAGCTGGAGGCTGATGCGTCCTCTGTGGAGTCAAAATGACAGAAAGGGAGCAGATCTGGAAACACAAAGAACAGGAGGGAAGGAGAAACGGATTTTCAGTGATGCGGCTTAATAAGCCAAGGAGGCAGATCAAGGTCTTGGTGAACTCTGCAGCGAACCTGGGAAGAACAATAACACGTTATCTCTCCTCTCAGGGGAGACATAATTGGCTGAGTTGGTTACTAATACGTCATGTTCTGTTAACTGCTTCTTTTAAAGCTGTCAAGGTTGTTTTGGTGTTGCCAGTGATGCTCTGTCACAATGTGGAACCTGGAGCACCCAAACATAGACGCAGGTATTGTAAGAAAAAAAGTTTTATGTGAGTAAAAGTGAAAACGCTGCTTAAGAGGAAAAGAGATCCAACACGCAGAAAGAAGAAGTGCACCACCTGAAAATCTGGGGTTAATGTTTCATTTCATTTATCTGCAGATAACATTACAACCAGGTTTAATATGTTTTAGTTCCACGTTGGAGAACAAGGATTTAATCACTGCTAGTCTCTGATCTGTATCAGTATAACCTTACAACCAGTGTGCTTTAAAGTTATCCATTTAACGGGGCAGTATCAGATATTTTCCAGTTAAATAGTGCCATTCTGTAGTTCAATTTAGCTTTGCAATTAATGCCTTGAAATTGGGCCTCTGTCTCTTGAGGTGAACACGTTGGTCTAATTGTCGTCATGTTCCTACTAACTAAAAATTGCTGCTTGTGATATGTAAAAACTCATAATTACTTTTAAACAATGCAGATGTTTCGTTATATTTTTCACCCACAGACGTTTTCTCACCTGTGCTGTGCATGCTGGGTTGATGATGCACTCAGGTGCATTGTGTCCTGCAATCTACAGATTAAACAAGGCTGAAGTCTTCTTCTGTTTTATGGCAGGTATCAAGCAACATCCCTCCGTATGCATCACCGCTACTTAAATGGAGTGTGGATCAGGAAGGATAACTTTACCCGGGTTGGTTTTTATCATATTGTGTTTGACTGGTGTCCATTTAGACAATGTCACACCGTGTCATTGTTGGCCGTAATTTCAACAAAATACAGACATATTATCACTTCGGTAAAACGAATCACATAATCGATCAGCACAATAAAACTAAGTAAATAGATAAATAAACCTGGTATTGTGTGAGGTTCTTCTTAAACAGCCTGAAGTTCACACTGTGTAATGTTTGTTACCCCATTGGCCATGGACAAAAATCTCAAATCATCTTGAAACTTACCCTGCTCAATCCTACCATCACACACAACTATTGTTGAGAATTTGGAAACATTTGGTCTTTGTTTGCCAAAGTTAAGGAGGGAAACCAAATATCTCAGTTGTCTGAAATAATCTGTTCCCCCTCAGAAACATAGGAACTAATTATTCTTTCCAAAACTCCTCAACTGTGTTTATTTCTCTTGTCATGGACAACAAATGATGTGGATTTGGAAATATTTGGCCTTTATTTGCCAAAGTTACATGATGGAAACGAAATAAAAACGAAGCAGTTACAGAAGAATTATAAGTCTTTATTGGTTTGCAATCAATCAATCAATCAAATTTTATTTGTATAGCACATTTCAGCAAGGCATTTCAAAGTGCTTCCCATCATAAACACAAGAACACAAAGTCATGCAACATATAATAGACAATGCATTGTTACATATTACATTTCAAAAACAACTCTAAACAGGTGTGTTTTTAATTGCGATTTAAAAGAAGTCAGGGTTTCAACTGTTTTACAGTTTTCTGGAAGTTTGTTCCAAATTTTTGGTGCATAGATGCTGAAAGCTGTTTCTCCTCTCTTGGTTCTGGTTCTGGGAATGCAAAGCAGACCAGAACCAGAAGACCTGAGAGTCTGGAAGGTTGATACAACAACAGCAAATCTTTGATGTATTGTGGTGCTAAACCGTTCAGTGATTTGTAAACCAACAACAATATTTTAAAATCTATTCTTTGAGCTACAGGGAGCCAGTGGAGGGACTTTAAAACTGGTGTTATGTCTCTATCTTCCTGGTTCTAGTGAGAACGCGAGCAATGTGATCTTTCACAACTTCGTAACATTTGTAACACACGTATTACAGCCACAGTAAGAAAAAATTGAATTATAAGAATAAAGTCATAATATTAAGTGAAATTTGTCTGAAAATAAAGTCATATTACAAGAGCACATCTGCCCTACAGTATTTGTTGATTTCCTTTTTGCAATAAAAAAAACAAAACACCATTTGGACACAGATTTATAAGAGCACAACAATGTTAAATCGCAGAACTACGTCATGCGGCTGCAGTATGTCCAGCAGACCACAGCTTTCTGTGATTTCTACATCACTGCTGACCCCTCCAGCCTCTGGAGGCGAAGGAAGTGACTCCCTGCGAAGTGATGCCGGTGACGTATTTCACCGTTCCACTGTGTCCGTCCTCTGACTCCATGTTGGACGCCGTCTCCGTGGAAACCTGGACGATCATGGGAAGATGCACGCGTAGAACGTGGCGATCATGTCCTCGAATGCAGCGTTGGCGGTTTCTTGCTGCACGTAAAATAACTAACTTATCCGACCCACTGGAAAATTTAACTTCAGACGCATTAAGGTGAGGAGAACCATCTGAAAGTGAGTCAAGTTTGTTGGAACCTGCGCAACAAGCCCTGAAAAGTGGAATGGCTCTGAAGCCCGGTGTAATATTTTACCTTTTTGTCACCCTTAAGAACAGTTCTGTAAGATTAAGTTCAGTGAATTCACTCTTTAGACTAGTGATTTGCTTCATTGGTCAAGCATGTTTTTCTCTGAACTTTCCTTGACAGGTTGTGAGAGGTCAGTTTCCACCTGTTCCTCTTCACATTTTTGCACAAGCTTGGCTGTGTGTGGCGTCTCCTGCTGCTCCTTTTCTTGCCTGACCTCCTTCCAGTCAGGATGGGTCGTTAGCATTTCAAACGCTAGTTTTCCTGGAAAAACATTAACTGAGTTAATAGAACCGAATTGAAAGGCCTTCAAATGTAGCAAAATTTAAAGAGTAAAGACCAGAAAACTAAGTACAAGCCAAACCATGTAGAGAAACAAGAAAAAGACTCATAGCAGTATTAAGTTCTGCAAATATTTATTTAGAATTTAAATTATTTAAAACTGTACAGCATGCATCTACTGTAACTGCTACACTGCTACTTTTTAAATGCAGATGCTACACGTGATCAAGGCACAAAAGGAATTCTGATGGTGCATTTTAAACAATAACATGTTTATTTTCTTATATTTAAAAATACTTAAAATTCAAATTAACTTTACTTCATCAAGGGCAAGAGAGTAAACAATGTTACATGAGAAAAACAACTGCCATTGTTTTGTAAAAACATTTTCTACACAAGCTAATTTTCAAATCCAATTTGATAAATAAAAAAAGTAATTATTTGTTTAATTGCATCATTTAATGTATGTTTAATATTGCATGCAAAGTCTTCAATAAAAAAAAAAAATATCCGAATAATAAATAAATAAAATAACCATTAGTTGCAGCCATAATCCAGATTATGAGTGTCCTCAAAGGGGTGATTGCAGAAGAAATTAAAATTAAATAATACATATTTTATATTGCCATCATTTAGCACAATATAGACAAAAATGCTTTGATTACATTGCTAAAATGTAACCGAATCACACAACTGTTTTCTTGAAGGTTGTATTAATGTGTGAGGGAGGGCCACATGGACAGTTAAGGCGGGCTACATTTGGCCCCCGAGCCTTGAGTTTTACACATGCGCAGAATAGTATGTTTAAGAACCAGACGACTATTGATCGGTTTGGAAAGGATTTCTGAGGTCTGACCTACTGACTGTGCTTAAAAAAACGCATCTTCAGGGATGCGTTCATGGTCTCCATCAAAAAGTGGCAACACTAGTGCAAAATACCACACATAGTATCACAAAGCGTCACTTTTACTAGTGAGTGTTAAATCGAGAGCGTACCTGAGTGAAAACGACCCATTTTGGTGGTGAAATGAATAGAAAGTGACGTCGTTCCTTCCAACTGCCGTCACCCAGGCTAAGCATTCGTCACCTCCGACACCAGTTTGCCTTCGTGTTTCTTCGGAAAGCATAAGAATCGCAGTCCGTTGTTTAATTTCTCTTCTTTCTTGCCGTGCGAACGACTGGAAGAGCCGCGAATGCAGCAGCGACGGCCGGGCATGTTCCTCCACAAAGCCCAGAACTCAGGATAAAGAAGACAACAAAGCTGTTACAACCGTGTCTATGGTTACAACAATATGGCGGATGTGACGTCAGTTCTCCCGTCGCTGCTACGTTCTTCTTCTTTCTACCCTGTTTTGAGGGCATATTTGCTGCCACCTACTGGACCAGTAGTGTAATACAGAAAATTGCAATATTCAAAAAACTATATTTTTTAAACAAAATAACAGTGATAAACTAAATACAAGAAACTGTGTTTTACCAAGAATGCGGTAAAAATAAAAAAGCATATAAAAATATATCTCAAGTGTGTTAGAGAAGAAATGGATTTGAAATTTGTTCTAAGAAACAGATATTTGGGTCTCAAAATGTTTTTATTTCAATTAATGTTACAGGCGTTCAGCTAAAAAGCTGCAAGAATTTTAATTTTTATGGGGATACGACAGTGCCCTTGTTTTACTTCCAGAAAAACCCAGACTTTCATGAATTAAAACTTTAGAAAATTACATAAAAAACATTTTTCTTCTAATTCTAATTGACATTAAATTGAAACAAACTTTCCATGTTTTGGTTCCTGAAATATTTCTATTTTCTAAATGCCATAACAATAGTGTTTTTTATTTTTTAAAAATTGCTTTCCAAAACATGGGCTTATGTAATTTGCTTTAATTGCGGATTTTCAAACTGTAATCTGCCTTTTTTTCTCGTCGTCTTTGGAGTAAGTTTCCTTTCAGCCCCGAATTCTCTTTTATACATCTTGGCTTGTTTTTGATTGAAGGACATAACTATAGGACAGCACTATAACTTGGATTTAGTCTGAGTTTTGTCACAGTTTAAGTGAGTTCTGAAGAAGTCCTGGATCTTCCTCCATAGATGGACTTCAGCAGTAGCGTGGGCCCTGGGCTCCCCCCCCCACAGGACCGGCATACCTGCGTACCCATGGAAGCTGGAAGGGCAGTACGGTCCAAACGGGGGCTCTAAATAATGTCCGGCTCCAGGGTAGCTCACACTCTCAAAGTTCTCCTTCCCATGACGCTTCAGTCTGTCCACCATCTCGTCCATGTAGGCCTTGCTGTCCCAGTTGAAGTCGTCCTCTGAAGCTGCAAACAGGAAACGTCCACTTGCTCGTTCGATAGGCACCAAGGAACCCTTGTTTTCCTCCTTCAGAGGATCATGCATGCCATATTTGCTGATAATGGCTCCAGAGTCTGTGAAAATGACTTTGTTCATGTCAAACTTCAATGCTGAGAGAATCTGTCTATTCTTATAATAAAGGGGTAATGCTACATTAGCGGAGCAGCCGTTGATCCAGACGACAGCCTGTACTCCTGGGAGGTACGATGCGATTGACAGAGAGAGATCTCCACTTTTAGAAAGGGAGATGACGCCGACGCCATTACTGCCCGCCTGGGGAAAAACAGGAAAGGTCAAAATAAAATGATTTGCATATGGCTCATGGGGCAGCTCAGCAATATTTGTAAAACGGTGTAAACACAAAAACAACCCCAAAAGACCTATGGAAGAAAATTACTAAAAAACCCCCCAAAAAACTCCGACTTTAATCTCAGAATTTACGTTAGTATCAGAATTCTTTCTTTCAGCATTTCAACTTTAATATCAGAATTCTGACTTAATTCTTACTTGTTGATTTGTAAACCTGCTCTTTATCCACACTGAAAGCTCGTCCCAAATTTATTTGGTACATTTGAGTTTTAAGATTAGATTTGCCTGATGGCGAATAAACAAATTAAACAATTGTGATTCTGGGAGAAAAGTAATAATTTTGAGCTTCACAACATTTTAATAACTGACCTTTTCTTGGTTCTTTAGAAATTCGATGGATTCTTCAAAATAATCCAGATGGACTTCTTTAATGTTCTTGGGCAGGTCATCGTGGCCGTACAGCGCCACCGTCAGAACCAAGAATCCCCGGCTGGCCAGCAGAGCGGCTCTTTTCTCGGACAGACCGCCACCAAACGTGTACAGATCCAACACAGCAGGGAACGGCCCTTCACCTGAAGAAAGATAAACAATCCACTTCCTTAACCTTTCATTTTTTTTTTATTTTGTGGCCAAGTTCTAATTTTTTTGTAATTTCAAGCTTCTGTTGATCCAAATATTACATGATTCCATTTTTTAGCAGCTGTAACAGAAAAAGATATAGAAACAGCACTGAGAATATTAATTTTCAGTTGTATCTGACTAACATTAAAAGAGATAATTTGCTTCAACTTTAATTCTTTTGCAGTTGATTCCAGGCTGAGGGAGCAACAAACCTCTCTGCTTTAGGTATGGATTATACATTTTGTGAAGAAATTTATTGTCAAAGATTATCTGGTTCAGTGATTCCCAAATATTTTCTGGGCCCCCCTATGGATTATATATATATATATATATATAATATATATATATATATATATATAATATATATATATATATATATATAAAAAAAAGAAAAAAATCAACTGGGCACACATATCGTTCAACCAGACATAAACCTATACATATATTTTGTTTTCAAACTCAAGTTAAGTTTATTTCACACTTCAGGTTGCAACAGTGAAACACTTTTGTGTAACTGTTTTCCTACATTTTGGGAACCACTGATCTGATTTAACTTTGTAAGTTTTTTATTTTTTTACATTTTTGATAGATTTTACTAGATTTGTTTGAGCAGAATAAACTCAAACGTTTTTTGTTTCCTAAAATAAAGCAATCAAACAATCTGGGTAACCAGACAGGTCCTTGGTGCATTTAGTTAAATGTGCTGCTTTTGCTTCAGTATTTCTTGAACTTTAACAGAACTGAACCATATTAGGCAAAACCTCAGCCAGAAAACATTAAAAGCATCATTAATTTGCAAATTCAACAAAGAGAAAAAGCAACAAAGACCAACCTGGGGGAGTAAAAAGCACCCCACGGATATTTCCCTGTTTGACGGGAACACGGCTGACCCCGTCTCCCATCAGAAACCTCTCATTGGTCGCCTCAGCCAGCATCCCGCCCTCCTCTTCATGCACTGAGAAGTTCACCACATGGGGATTCAAGGAGTTTGTCTTCTGAAACCTCTTATGCAAGACATCTGGCCTCATAGACCACAGCAGACCCATGGGTTCGACCCCAACGTAGTTCCCACTGAGGGAGGCGTCTCTGCTCAGGTCGATCTCCCCGCTGTTGTCTGCCCTGTAGGTGGCCGAGGAGCTGAAAACCACTCCCTTCTCGTCTGTGGATCTGACTCTCATGGTGACCACCTGCTTGGACTTCAGACCGGCCACTTTCACCTGGATGGGCTCATCGAACAGACACCTGGCGCTGGGCAGCAGTCTCAGCCTGACTTGATTGGACATCTGTGATGTGAAACAAAAGGTTTCGTTAAACATTTTGACATTTTTAAAATGTAGCTTTTTTATGTCTAATACAAAGGAGTGTTTCACTTGTCTTTGTGAAATATACAAATTATTTACTTTATTAAAGGCACCAGCATCCCTCCTGACCCCACTAGGTACAAGGGTGTTAGAAAATGGATGGACGGATTTACTTTATTCACTCTTCATATTATTAATATTGTCATAAAAAGAATTGGGTAGGAACTAGTTAAATTTACTTAATTAGATTTTGTTGATTTTCTTGAGAAAAATACATTCAGGAGTATTTTTTAGTACACTGTACTTTTTAATTTGGAGTAATTTTATTATTAAGTATCACTACTTTTGCTTCAGTAAAATTTCTGGATTCTCTACCTACTGTGAAAAACTTCACTGAATGAACAAGCATGTTTTAACCAAAAATTCACCACTTACAGACAGTTTTTGTTAAAAGTTTCATACGGTTTATATTGCAATAAACTTATTTGGAAGAATTTTCTTCTGTCATTTATAAGAATAAATGTCATTATTGACCTTAAACACCTCAAATTCCCCCTAACTTTATGTTGTGGTCCGTCTAATTAGGTAATTTTTAAACATTCAATGATTGATAATTTGATGTTGTTCTTGAGAAGACTTTTACACTTCCTTTTTCTTTACATTTTACTTTCATTTGAGTGAAAATATGTTTCAAGTACGGCTACTCTTTGCTGTGTAGTTATTTTGATTCTCTGCTCACCTGTTTTAAAACTCCGGCTAAAGGATTGAAATGAGGACTAAACTCTGCGCTTCAGCTACAATTTACCCAAGTTAGCTATAAACTGAGTTAAAATAACCTCAAGGACGATAAAAGCATATACAGGTTACTAACTTTCAAAGACATTAATAAAGAGTAAACATTCGTACCTTGCCTAATTTTCACCCAACGTCAAAAAAACAACAAACAAGCTGAACAACTTCAACAGGTGAATGTCCTTCCCCGCACCTTTCCTGCAGCAATGTGTAAACAAAAACAACCGGAAGTGGCGTCAGTTTCTTAAAAAATAAAAGTAATGATAGAATAGTTAAAAATCTGTTGTAGATACAAATACGGAAGCAGAAGAAACGCAGTTCGTTGTTTTATTTCTCTTCGTTCTTGCCGTGTGAACGACTGGAACAGCCGCGTATACAGCTGTTACAACCCGACCAATATGGCGGATCTGCCGTCGCTTCTTCTGTCGTCACTAAGTTCTTTTTGGCATTGTTTTGAGGGCGTATTTAATGCCACCTACTGGACCCTATTGTACATTACACACAAAATTGTAATATAAAAAAATTATTCCGGTTTCTTAAAAAAAAAAATAATTTAAGAAAAAAAATTTCTTTAGACCACAGCAGACCCATGGTTTGCATACAAGAAAATATGTTTTCCCTAGAATGTGGTAAAAAAAAAAAAAAACACTTAAAATATATCTCAGGTGTGTTACAGAAGGGATGTATTTAAAAGCTTACTTAAAAAGCAGTGAGAATTTTATTTTTTTAATTTTTATAGTAATGTGACAGTGTTGCCGTTGTACTTACAGAAATCTCCAACTTTCATAAATTAAAACTGGAGAAAATGACAAAATATTTTCTTTCTCTATCTGACATTCAATTGGAACAAACTTTCTATGTTTTGTTATGGTTACTAAAATATTTCAATTTTCTAAATGGCATAACAACATTTTCAAAATCAGAATTAAATTGCTTTCAAAGAACAAGTTTATATAGACTAAATTATATTATATTATAGATATTTTTTCTTTTGCTTTTGGAGTAATGGATATTCCTTTCAGCCCTAAAACTCATGGATCTCTTTTATACATCTTGGCTTGTTTTTGATTGAAGGACAGCAGCACTATAACTTGGATTTAGTTTGAGTTTTGTCACAGTTTAAGTGAGTTCTGAAGAAGTCCTGGATCTTCCTCCATAGATGGACTTCAGCAGTAGCGTGGGCCCTGGGCTCCCCCCCCCACAGGACCGACGTAGGTACGAGCCCATGGAAGCTGGAAGGGAAGTACGGTCCAAACGGGGGCTCTAAACAATGTCCGGCTCCAGGGTAGCTCACACTCTCAAAGTTCTCCTTCCCATGACGCTTCAGTCTGTCCACCATCTCGTCCATGTAGGCCTTGCTGTCCCAGTTGGAGTCGTCCTCTGAAGCTGCAAACAGGAAACGTCCACTTGCTCGTTCGATAGGCACCAAGGAACCCTTGTTTTCCTCCTTCAGAGGATCATGCATGGCATATTTGATGAACAAGGCTCCAGACCCTGTGGAAATCACTTTGTTCGCGTCAAACTTCAATGCTGAGAGAATCTGTCTGTTCTTATAATAAAGGGGTAATGCTACATTAGCAGAGCAGCCGTTGATCCACACCACAGCTTCAACTCCGGGCACAAAAGTAGCCAGGGAAAGAGCGATGTCGCCTGCCTTAGATAGTGATATTACCCCAACTCCTTTACTGCTCACCTGCGAAAAACATAAAATTAAGAAATAATGATCAATACAGTCAGTTCAGGAATTATTAATAAAACTTATTCACATAAATATACACTTCAGCAGTTAGAAAAGCTAAATATATTACAAGAAAATGGAATTGCTACTTATTTTCAGGATTAGTTTCAAAGCTCATTGATATTTGGTCATTTAAAACAAAAGTTAAACACTTTGAAGTCAGTAATTTCAGGATCTTTTATGAAACTTTTCCTTTTCTAATTTTACTCTGTAACAAAAGATGAATGTGTTATATAGTGTGTTAACCATCTTTATGGTGGTTTCCATTCTATAATCTCGTCCCAGAATACAGGAGAGAGGATGAGATGTTGCATGTTGTCCAATTTCTTAATTTGCTTCTTTAACATAAAGTGATTTTATGCAAACTAGAAAACTGGATGCATCTTGTTACCTTTGACTGGTTTTGTAGGAACTGAACTGCTTCTTCAAAGTCATCCAGATCGATCTTTTTTAGTTTGGAATTGTCAGGGAATACTGGTAAAGCAAGAACTATAAAGCCTTTATTGGCCAGCAGAGAAGCCCTTTTCTCTGACATGAAGGAGCCCAGATCCAACACAGCAGGAAACGGACCCTCTCCTAAAACCAAAAAGAAAACAGAAGAATGTTAAATACTCATTTATTAAAATAGAAAAGCTCATTTATCTTAATTAAAGGTGATCTATTATGCTTCCCTGAACAGGTTAGGATAGGTCTGTGGGCAACATAAAACATCTTCGTTGCATTTTTGCTCAAAATCATTCTGCCTATGTTGAGCTCTTTAAGGGTGTCTTGTCACTTTAAATCCAAAGAAGCTGCTGCTCGCCACGCCCCCCTTAACTCAATGTTTACACTCGCGAATGAAAATGGCTGCAAGTCGATGCACAACTATACGTCTTTGAAAAGCATAAGTGGAGACTCCTGTACAATCAACAACTCCCCCCAACAACAAATCTCATCAGCAGCTCTGCTGGGGTTGCTAAGTGACGGCAGTACCTGATGATTATGGGGACTGAGGACCTGAAGTTACCTCAATAAACTACTAATATTCTTTTACACTACAGGCTCCCTATATATAGTGGATGAGCAGAATAAGCTCAACCGTTTTTATTTCCAAAAATAAAACTGGTTATCCAAACAATATGGATAACCAGATGGTTTGTTTCACCAGGTCCTTGGTGCATTTAGTTAAATGTGCTGCTTTTGCTTCAGTATTTCTTGAACTTTAACAGAACTGAACCATATTAGGCAAAACCTCAGCCAGAAAACATTAAAAGCGTCATTATTTTGCAAATTCAACAAAGAGAAAAAGCAACAATGACCAACCTGGGGGAGTAAAAAGCACCCCACGGATATTTCCCTGTTTGACGGGAACACGGCTGACCCCGTCTCCCATCAGAAACCTCTCATTGGACGCCTCAGTCAGCATCCCGCCCTCCTCTTCATGCACTGAGAAGTTCACCACATGGGGATTCAAGGAGTTTGTCTTCTGAAACCTCGTGTGCAAGGCGTCTGCCCTCATAGACCAGAGCAGACCCATGGGTTCGACCCCAACGTAGTTCCCACTGAGGGAGGCGTCTCTGCTCAGGTCGATCTCCCCGCTGTTGTCTGCCCTGTAGGTGGCCGAGGAGCTGAAAACCACTCCCTTCTCGTCTGTGGATCTGACTCTCATGGTGACCACCTGCTTGGACTTCAGACCGGCCACTTTCACCTGGATGGGCTCATCGAACAGACACCTGGCGCTGGGCAGCAGTCTCAGCCTGACTTGATTGGACATCTGTGATGTAAAACAAAATGAAACAAAAGGTTTCGTCAAACATTTTGACTTTTTAAAGTTAATTTTAAAAAGTTCACTTAAATCTATGATATAAACAGAAACTATAGAAAATTGACTAACGTAACTGTATGTATATCACTTCAAGAGCTCAAGAAGCCATCTGAATAAGCTTTGCTGTGGATTCTCTTTCCACAAACATGTTTTAACCAGAATGAAAAGCAAACATGTTTTAACCAGAAATTCACCATATACAGACACAAACCTACAGTTTTTATTAAGATTTAATAATTTTTTTACCTTAAGAACCAGTTTTGGAAGACTTTTCTTTCATCTGATTTAGCTATTTTTTGTTATTTATATGAATAATTGTTATCAAGTCCACGTAATTTTATATTTTGGTCCATCTGGTTAAGTAATTTTTAAATATTAAATGATTAAATGATTGATAATTTGACAAAGTACTTAGTACTTGAGTAAACTGTTTACAAAATACTTTTTTTACTCTTGAGTAATTTATTGAATGGCTACTTTTTTACTTTTATTTGAGAAGAATATGTTGAAGCACAGCTACTCATACTTGAATACAAATTTTAGATAAAATGTCCACTAGTTTTTAAAGCACTGATACGGAGCCCTTTTGGGGACATGGGGATTTTTTTCTTTTGCGTTCCCTCGCGCAATAGTGTACTGATCAGTTGTGCGGCATAACTGAATACTGTAAGTCTCTCTTATGGTAGCCACTGTACTTTCTGCTTTAATATAAGTGAACGAAGTTTGTGAGGTTTTTCCATGAATGTTAATACCTCTTTGTGAAATATCTGAAGCTTTATATATTTTTCTTTTGGAAAGAAAGGCACCAAAAATCTATGATATAAGCAGAAATGTTCCATAAGCAGGAACTAAATAAAAATACATCCTAATTTGGACTATTTCTGAGTCATTATTCTGGGGTAATCAGTCATTTGACAGTTCAGATATTTCACACAGAAGAATTAACATTCATAAAAAAAACTTCACATAACCTTATATTAATTAAAGCAGAAAGAACGGCTTAAAGTATTTAATTATGTAACTGATCAGTGCAGCATTGCGAGGGAACGCGATAGAAAATGTCCCCCTCTGTCCCGTCTGGGGCCCCGTAGACTGAGGTTAAAGGTCTGAGCATTAAAATGGGGAGTAAACGCTGCGCTTCAGCACAAATAACTTACTACAGCTGCTACTTAACCAACTTAGCTATAAACCGAGTTGAAAACACACGTCGTTGTTATTATTTCAACTTAATAAAAGCACATTCAGGGCACTGACTTTCAACCACATCTTTAAACTTCTGAGGAGTAAAAAAGGAAACGGTCGTTTGCCAAGTTTGGCACTGATTTATCCTGAAAACGGCTCACCGTCCTGCTTTTTCCAAACACTGTGAGAAACTTTGGGGCTCATAAAATACCTTCTACTACGTGTAGTAAGATAAATAATTGGATGCCAGATGTCCTCAATCCTGGAGGGCAGGTTTCATCCGACTACATCCGGGGTTTGACCGGATATAAACAGAAGCAGCCGGAAGCGGCCCGGGTTTCTTCAAAAATAAAGGCACAGAAGGGCACGTTTTTAAAAATTAATTTGATTTTTTTGTTGTTGTTGTATTATTCTCAACTAATAGCAGAATATTTAAAACCATGTTTTTATGATTTGTGAAAACTTTTTTCTGATTTGTGAAACTCCAATAAAGGGCAATGTTTATGCCTCTTTTGCACCAGGATCATATTAGAACTGCTCTAATTCCAAAACCACGACATCTAGCCGCTTCCAACCTGGACTAGATTATTCTCAACTAATAGCAGATTATTTAACCATGTTTTCAGCCAGTCCTTTTGTTGTCTGAGTTTCCAGACCCTGTTGACATAGAATTTTAAGTTAGCACAATACTGCACAGGATAGCTTTGACACATATAAAATATAACATAGAAAGTTAAAGTACACTCTAGGTTCATACAAATTTAGATGAAATTAAAAACAACGGCTCAATCTCTGAAACGCAGATAAATTCTTAAAAGGAGGATCAGACAGAAAAAACAGAAAACGTAGGCCTAGACTCCTTGGATCTCTTGAGATAAGGAGCCTGTATGCCAGGCAATTAACAAATTCCTGAGCATGGTTCAAAAGTTCACTAGGATCTTAAAACTTTTTATAAATAATTTTATCTATATTAGAATTAACTATATTTCTTTAAGCATGTTTTTAAATAGTTACTTATTAGATCCAAACTTATAGTCATTATTTAGCATTACATTGTGTGCAAGCTTGGTTAAAAATACAAACGACTTTTTTGTGAAAAACAGCTTGGGGAAGAGATAGCGCTACAGCTGCACTCTATATCAAACTGGACAGCGGCAGGTACGAAAAGAGCCGGGCCATATATCTGCCTTTGGGGCTCTTGAGCAGGAGGTAATAAAATTAACATTAAGACAGCCCACACAAAGGAAAAGAACACACTCCTAATGCATATATTTAAATGATGAGATTACGCATTCTATAAAATGATTTGGTTTACAGCAGAAGTTCGAATCGCTTGGTGCTGAGTGAGTGGTTCCCAAAAATGCATTTTTGAATCAGGTAATATTCTGTTTTGTCATTGGGTGTTGGCTTTTTGATATATCTGGGTGTAAGTGGTGTTCTGTTATTCTGTATGTATTTGTATTCACCTTTGGATAAAGTTATGGATATCTGAAATCTGACGTTGTATGATTGGTCTATTCTCTCTGCACACTTACACAGACACAGGAATTCGGGACAAAGAATTAATTAAAGAGCTAAATCAAGTTCTTCATCTTTTTAATTCTTAACAATTGTTGACATAGAATTTTAAGTTAGCACAATACTGCACAGGATAGCTTTGACACATATAAAATATAACATAGAAAGTTAAAGTACACTCTAGGTTCATACAAATTTAGATGAAACTAAAAACAACGGCTCAATCTCTGAAACGCAGATAAATTCTTAAAAGGAGGATCAGACAGAAAAAACAGAAAACGTAGGCCTAGACTCCTTGGATCTCTTGAGATAAGGAGCCTGTATGCCAGGCAATTAACAATTCCTGAGCATGGTTCAAAAGTTCACTAGGATCTTAAAACTTTTTATAAATAATTTTATCTATATTAGAATTAACTATATTTCTTTAAGCATGTTTTTAAATAGTTACTTATTAGATCCAAACTTATAGTCATTATTTAGCATTACATTGTGTGCAAGCTTGGTTAAAAATACAAACGACTTTTTTGTGAAAAACAGCTTGGGGAAGAGATAGCGCTACAGCTGCACTCTATATCAAACTGGACAGCGGCAGGTACGAAAAGAGCCGGGCCATATATCTGCCTTTGGGGCTCTTGAGCAGGAGGTAATAAAATTAACATTAAGACAGCCCACACAAAGGAAAAGAACACACCTCCTAATGCATATATTTAAATGATGAGATTACGCATTCTATAAAATGATTTGGTTTACAGCAGAAGTTCGAATCGCTTGGTGCTGAGTGAGTGGTTCCCAAAAATGCATTTTTGAATCAGGTAATATTCTGTTTTGTCATTGGGTGTTGGCTTTTTGATATATCTGGGTGTAAGTGGTGTTCTGTTATTCTGTATGTATTTGTATTCACCTTTGGATAAAGTTATGGATATATGAAATCTGACGTTGTATGATTGGTCTATTCTCTCTGCACACTTACACAGACACAGGAATTCGGGACAAAGAATTAATTAAAGAGCTAAATCAAGTTCTTCATCTTTTTAATTCTTAACAATTGGGGGCTTCGTCCGGTCCTTTTTCTCTGTGTCTCTGTGTGTGTTGCAGTGGAGACTTGTTTGTTTGTGTTAGCCTGTGGAGCGCAGCTGGAACGTTGCGGAGTGATCTGCAGCGAGGCTATTCCCGCGGACTGATCTTGGTTAGTGTGTGATCTCTTTGTGCTGTTTTGTTTCTTCTTATTCTACTGAACCATTAGATAAGCTGGTTACACACCCGTAGTTGGCAGTGGCGCGCCTCAACCACACTCGACGGAGTGTGGATTTAGCTAGGTTGGCTCGACCTGAGATTTTACTACACTCAAACGAAGCCTGTGAGTTGGGTGTGAGACAGGAAAAGGCCTGAATCGACCTTGGAGTTTTGATTCGCTCCGAAAGCAGCTGATTATTCGCAGGGCTTATGAGAATTGGCTACGGTTGTATCACCACGTTCCGGTTTTGTTCTGGATCGAAAGGACCTCCAGATTTAAAAGTTGAATCACTTAAGCTATTGCCCGAGCTTGAAAGGACTTATGCTAAATTGGGAGACAGTCTCCTTCCGCAGCAACTAGTGCTGAAAATGAAAGTGATGTGCAGTAAAGTGCAAGAGACAGACATTGGGGCCCCAAAGAATTAAACTCTTCTGTTATCGATAACAATAGGGACTTTCCTTTTGCTTTCTTATCTTTCTTAATTTTCCTCGTTTGTCTCTGTGTGTTGACGTTATTTTGATTTTTTCCTGTGTGTTGACCACCTTGTCTGTTCATGTGTTTTCGCTGTTTTTTGTCTGTTTGTGTTGTTTCGCCGGCGTGTCTTGGTGTCTTTGTGTTTTTGTCTTTGTGTTTATGTCAGTACGTTATCTGTTTGTGTGTCGGAGTGACTGAGCCGTTGTTTGTCTGTGTGTTCGTTGTGCGGTGGCCGTGTGAGTTTTGCCGTTGTCTGTGTGTGTTGTACGGCTCTCTGTATGTTATTGTGTGTATGGGAGACGGCGTTTGCAGCTGCTGAGTGGGTGTTGTGTTATTTCAATCGGGAGAGACTCAGATGAGAATGAAAGCGATTAGAAAAGTTAGTTAAGTCTTTGGCGCTCGGGCCCCGGCTAAGGACATCGAGCTGACGCGATAAGCTCGGATGAGCATTCCCGATGCTGATAGGAATGACATCCCCCCGGGACCCGGCCTGGTGGTGGAGGTCAGTGAATGAGTATGCCTGGGAGCCTGGACGATGGAGGTGGAGAAGGGGTGGAGGTGGGCTGAGCGCAGACTCGGGAGCGTCTGATGGGGAAGGAAGGGTCGAGGACACGGCAAAGCAGCTGATCACCAAGAAAGGGATCCGCTGGGATGGTTTGCTGGGAAGCTGGGACGTGCGACTGAACGTGTTGAGCGCAGCAGCGAAACGGGAGGCACTTTGGATGGACGTCCTTATGAACTGAGGCGTGGTCGGTGATTGGCTGCGACATGGCTAAGTCTAGCGATGATAGGTCGTCAGTGATTAGCGGGAAGCGCCTACTGAAAGCTGCGGGTGGGGCTAAAGAGTCTTCCAGATTGAATTTACGCCTAGGCTTCATTTTGCCGCGGTTTGTGCTAGTATATTATTTTGGAATTTATTTTAAACCGACTAATCTATACTACTAATATTATTAATACTGGTGCTGATACCTTATGATGACTGCTAATATGGAGGTTGGTTTGGATAAGGGAATGTTTGCTTGGTCCTATGGTTCAGGCCCGTGGAAACCTCTGCAGGCGCAGATAACGGGTTTGATAAAAATTTTAACTGATCAGCTGGGGGACGGCACTGTTGCTTTGTCTCCGGCCGACCTGAAAGTTCTACTTGAGGATGCTGTGCATCAACAGAGTGCTGCTCTTCGGAGTGAAGTCCCGTTGGGTTTGATTTTGAATGTCTGTTTGACAAAAGCGGCGGCAGTGAGAGAGGCCGCTTATGCTGAGAGACAGCAGGCTGGTTTTCTCAGAAGAAAGGCAGCGTCTAAGAAGCTGGAGAAGGCGGAACGGGACAGACAGATGTGGGCTCGTCTTTTGGTGAGTTGGCAGGGAACTGAACATCTATTTAAACAGGGACTGTCGTCTGGAAATCTGGAGCTTTTTGATGGGAAGCCAGTGGATAGTAGTAATGCTGATGCCTTAACAGCAGTGTCTCATGTTTCTTCTCCCCCTCCTTATGGTTCTTCTAATCCCTTCTCTGGGGGTTTGTACCCGGTTTTGGATGTTAATATGGGCTCTGCGCAGTGGGAACTTTTACATGTCCCACCTTTATCTACACATGGCCAGACTTCACAGGTCGGACCTGCTCCGCGAGTCGCATCTCGGCTACCTTCTCCTTCTCAATCCCTCTTTCCAAGGGAGTCGGCCACTGCTACTCTTCCGATGGTGGATAGAATTCAGCGTGAAAAACTTGATTTTCCATTGTCTCCTTACATGCCTGCTGTAGGTCTGGATCGATTTTCACACACTTCAGCGAGTTCCGCCTCTTCCTCCTCCCAAAAAGGGGAACAGGGGGAGGTGCAATTGAAATTAGACGTTAAACTGGTGGGTGATCTGCTTTCCAAGGACCAGCCCGTGGAGGCGGGGTCTTCTTCGCCCTGTTGTCCAATCCTGAAGGACCGTTTTGATTCTATTCTTGCCACGCGGCCCGCTCAGGGTACGTCACTTTTGGACCAATGTAGTGGCGCTGGGTATCCTTCCCCCCCTGTGTTGACCCCTATCCGCTGCGACGCGAGAGC